TACCTTTCCGTCTTCTGTGACGGAAATTGGTTGATGAGTGCCAGTGTTAGTGGGATGAAATTGGGGATGGAGAAGGCCTCCTTCACAAAGGCCGCTTTGGTGGGGCCCTCCGTTTTGCTGTCCTGAACCACTAGGCTTCCGAGGTGTTTCTGTAAAGCCCTGAGGGAGAGGCAGGGAAAAGGACTGGAGGCTTCAGGAGGGCCCCAATTCTTTCCCTGGATGATGAAGTAATAACAGGACACTCGAATTCAAAAGAGGAAGGGAAACGTCACAACATTTATTACCAAAGAAAGTAGCAAAATGGAGCTCCATGTACACAACGCTCTTTGGAGGGAAAGAGAATCACAGATTTTAATCCATTTTTACATATTTACAGCAAGATGAAGCCACAGCTTTCGACTATGTTTTTTCATTCAACAATCACTTTCGATCAAATACATAACAACTTTTATTTTTCTTTCAGGTTAGTTCATAATTTAAGGATCTAAGGGGGAGAGATGATAAATCACAAACAGTGTGGGTAGAGATGTACCAAATAGTATAAGGTTTCAGTCAGGCTTCTTGTGTGTGTGTGTGCGTGTGTGTGTGTGTGTGTGTGTGTGTGTGTGTGAATTTATGATTACAAAACATTTGCCTGTCTGTATAATTCACATTCATTGCAATCATTACATTTCCCATAAATTAGTGATATAAACAAACATATGGGGACTTCCAGTAAACAAATAAAAATCAATATAAGAGACAACATTTTGCAGCAACTATAATAACAGCATGGGTTACAGCTTGGGGAAACTTCTTTACAAATCATTTATTCAGCACACACAGAGTAGGGAGGCCAGTACATCCTTATGTATGTAAACCACCTTTAAAACCACATCGGGAGGTTTGGGGAAAGCTGGACAGGGTGAAATTTTCTTTCCTGGGCACAATATTAAATGAAGAACTGCATATGTGGATGGGAGGAGGGTATTTGCATGCACTTTGGGGACACTATCTTGTAAACTGAACTTTCTGAACTCCAATTGCCAAGACTCTGAAGAAAACAGGAAATGATAAAAATGTCTCTCCTTCAAGCCACTCTACTTTCTATTAATGGCAAAAAGGGCTTGCTGATTGCTGCTAGTGGGAAGAAACACACAATGGGTCTATTTTTAGAAGAGATTGTCTTTGAAGGAGCAGAAAATATTAACAATTGCTTGGCTGCAGTCAAAGGTTCCAAGCATCCTTGGCAAGAATATTGGGAGTTTGAGGGGTCCCCAAAGGAGGTTCATCCAAGTGACCTTACTGGGACTGATGAGTGCAGGCCAGTGCAGAGAGAAGCGGACACACAGTTTGTGCTTGGGGTATGTACCCTCTGCCTACACCTCCTCTGCATTCTTTCCCCTATGTCCCAGAGCCTGTGCAAAAGGCCCCTCAACATCTGTGCGCCTCCACAGACCTTGGGCCTGATGTCTCTGTGTTGCTTTTGTTTTTCCTTAGCAGGACTGAGTCCTAAAGTTATCAGTTAGTGTACTGTGCATGTATTTTTTTTTTTAAGAAGTTTGATTTTATCTCTTTAGAAACGGTTTGAAACTAACGGGGCAGAGGGAGTTTGACAGAGAGGAGAACAAATCGCTGACAAAGAACCTTTTACGTTTCATCAGCGTTGTTAGGACGACAAGCAGGAATGTCTCAGATAATAACTCCCACTTCAAAGATTTCTCAGCTCAATAGAAAGCGGACCATCCTTTTTATTCAACCACAAGGACTGGCACTAAAGAAGACTCTACTGTTTGATTTTTTTTTTCACCGTGTTTATTTTTCCCCTATTCACTGGGGTACTTGGATAAAATAAACAACAAGACAATTAAGGGAACATGGACTTCTAACTTTCCTGCCATCTTCCCTATCCCCTTGGCCTTGGGCTCTTGAGTTCATGCCCAGGGCCAGCCTAGGCCTGATGGGTATCCTATGCCCCACACTAGGGAGAAACAATATGGGGGCCTGCAAGAGACCTCTGGGATAGAGGGGGCAGAATGGGTTGATCTGGGGACCAGAGTGGTAATGTCCCAAAGGCACAGTTTGAACTCCTTAGATTCATCCAGTGTGTCCCCTCCATAAGTCCCTTTCAAATTCAGGCCTCTACCCTGCTCAAGTGGCAGAGAGGCGTTTTGCACAAAATCGAGCTGGGGATGCTCATTTGTTAAGCTTCTGAGGTTGCCCTAAAGTTATTTACTCTTGACCCTGGAGCTTCTTTGGGGGCGCAGTCAAGGTGCACGGAGTCCGGCTCCTCCTTTCCTGAATGCGTCCCTGGCATCAAAACGCCCCCTCCCCACAGGAGTGTAGGGTGAACCCCTAAACGCGGGCGACGCTGGTTCCAAAGAGGAAGTATATACTGGAGAACGTAGTGACAGTATTAAATGGCGTGAAAGCAAAGGTCAGCGCAAATGTATCTTAATAGAGTGTCTGCAGTGAAGTGTGCCGCCTTTGAAGCGGCCGCTCCCCGCGCGCATTTCCATGGCGAGCCTAACGCGGCATGCTGATGCACCGTCAAACTCACACTTTCAACCCCAAAACCCGACTCTTTGAACAACCCGAGCTTGATTAGACCTTTCTCCTTTTCTTTCCCCTCTTACAAACCATTTCCTCGCCTTTAGAAACTCGCCATCAAACCCAAATGCGCCCTCTGATCACCGCAGAAAGCAGAAACAAAGGGGGCTGAGCGGCGATTCAAGCGGCCCTTTTCTTCCCTCACATTATTATCCATTTTTATTATGATCGGGAACAAGTGCCCATTCGCGTGGGTTTTGTTTACCGGAAATTAAATGAAAATGATTTAGTCCGCGTCAAACAAAAATATATACTTGTATACACAAGAAAAAAGGCCTGTTAGACGTAAATATTATGTCCTTAATGAAAAGCCTGGACGGGCTCCAGGCTCGGCCTTTCAGGATTTCAGTGCAACTTGCCCATTGCCATAGAAATCCTAACTTACCATGAAGATGCACCGTGGCGAAGAAACATTGCTTTGTGCGCGGACCCTTTGATGTCGCAGGCGCTAGATGCGGGCGCTCAGCTGCGTTGGGCGAGATTACCTTGCGAGCAACGCGGTGGACATCTGTAACAAGCAAATGAAAAATTAAAGGCTATTAGGGGCCGACCAAGCATTTTTATTTTATTTCACTATTTTGGATGGGAGTGGAAGGCAAACAGGGGCCTAGAAACAGAAGAGAAAGGAATGAGTCCGATTTGTAGAGGGAAGAATTTTTAAACGTCAGAAGAAGCAAGTTCTGCAGATGCCCTCTCCACCTTGGCGGTGGGGCGGGTGTTTCCCCGATGGGAACGAGTCGTTTGCTGCAGGCCGCCGGCCCTTGGCCAGGCGGCCTCTGGACTCCATTGTACGGGTGAGAGGAGTGGGGGGAGGGGATTGCGGGGCCACTTCCACAAGAATGGATTCACTAAGTGTGTGTTTGGAAGATTCTGGGTTTTTTTGAGAGGTACTGAAAACACTCCCATTCCAGTTAGGACATTGTTTATCTGATGAAAGTGTGGGGCTGCAGGGCAGGAGTGAGAATTGTCTAATAGTGTCTGCAGGGGAGACTGTAGAAGAAAACCCAGCAGAGTAGCAGGGCCAGGACTTGTTGGGCAGTCTAGCGGGCTCCCCCTAGGTGGGACTAACAGAGCGCCCATCTCCCAATTCTTAGGGGATTGGGATAGGTCTACCAAAGCTTTTTCACCCTTCTTTTTTCTTTCTAACCCCCTCCCTCATGTTAGCAAGGATTTGGGGGCAGCCCCATCCTCCCTGCAGAGGGTGAGAGGCTGGGCAACAGGCCTTGATTCCTCCCCTCCTTGGCAACAATTGCAGACTTTCCTCTCCTCTGCCCCCAACATCTGGTTCTTTATCTGGGGACTTGGTCTGCAGGATATCGAATACTCATTCGATCTAGACCCATTGGGTATTTGCCTTTAAAACATTTATGATTGAAGTTAATCTCTCTTGTCCTCCCCCCCCCACACACCTTTTAAAAAATAAGACGAACAACTGTATGATTTTTTACAAAGATTATCCCAGAATTGATGAGATTCATCCAGGCACTGTTCCCTAGGCCAGATCCCTTCACTGTGGAGGCCTTGGCTCGGTGACGTCATTGGCCCACTCTGCACCCCCAATGCCAAGCACCCACAAGATTTCAAAGGCAGCTCTTCTACAAGAGTGGGGGGGGTGGGGAGAGGGTGATTGTTCCCAGGAGGCTTCAGAGCATTGAATCCTAAAGCCCCTCTAGCACTCCTTTGTCTGCATTTTCAGTTGTTAGGACTCACACCTTATCCCAGAGGTAGAAGTATAGGGAGCAGATATTTCTGGGTGCTTGGGCCAGCTCTTGGGAGAAGGGCATGTGATCCACAGGGGTAGGTGCTTAAACTTCTCTCCCTTTTAACTCCTTTGTAGAAGTAGTTGGAAATTTTGGGGCCTGGGACTTGTGCATTTTTGTTTGAGAGGATAGCTGAAGGAGGAGAGAATGTAGGGAGGCAGAAGTAGAAGGAAACAGGCAAGATAATGGCTCAGGGATTCCCTCTGCCACCTTCTGCGATTGGAACTTTCGAGGAGGCTCCCAATGGAAGCTGGGAAGGGAGTCCCGGTGGCAGTCCCAGCCGCCCAGGCCTCGAGGAAAACATTTCACATTCTGTGAACCACGAGAGGACTTTGTGGGCTTAATTTCACCGCCTGCAGCTGCCAAGTTCGCACATAAACTCTCCTAATGTGTATTTTTTTTTTCCTTCGTCTCTTTCTGTACTTTCTCCACCCAAACACTGGTGTCACGCTACTCAGTCGTGAAGGCGTCGATGGGGGTGGGTGCAGGGTGCTGGGTGTGATTGCGGAATAAATATGGGAACCATATTTATATTTTAAAATAATGGATATTATATTAGCATATTCAATGAGCTCTAACAACTTTTAGCGGTTACCTTCCTCCCTCTCTCCCTCCTTCCCTTCCATCCTTTCTTCCTTCCTCACCCTCTCTTCAAGACTCAGTAACCCCGCCTAGACAAGCAGTCAGTGTACCGGAAGCGGCAACCAGAGCAGCAGCGCTAAAACCGGAGGCGGTGGCGGCAGCGGCAGCGGCGGGACCAGGTGGTGGCTGGGGCTTTGGGGGTGCGGCGGGGGCGGTTGCGGAGGGGCCCGCGCCCTGACACACGTACCATTCACTCAGGTCGGCGCCACGCGCCGCCACCGCCGCCGAGGAGGCCACCGGCGGGTCGCGGCCGAAGTCCGATGAGGGCGACACCAGGGCAGACGGCGTGGCTGAGTCGTAGCCAGAGCTAGGCGGCGGCGGCGAGCGCCCATGCACCTTCATGTGCTTACGCAGAGAACTGGGGTGCGTGTAGCACTTGTCGCAGCCGCGCACTTTGCACGTGTATGGCTTGTCGCTCGTGTGCACGTGCGAGTGCTTCTTGCGGTCGCTGCTGTTGGCGAAGCGCCGCTCGCAGCCCTCGAACTCGCACCTGAAGGGCTTCTCCCCTGGTGGAGGCAACGCAGAGACATTAGTGCGCGTGGGTCGTGGCCCCAGTTTGGCCTCACCACCCTTCTCAATTTCTCTGTCATTTTTAGAAAAAGACCCACAGAAGATTTTCATAAACCTTTCCTTTTGGCCTCTCAGGACTAGCACCTCCTTCGCCCGCTCAGAGCGCGCCCCGAGCTTCCTCCAGCACGCCGTCACCCCTCCCCCTCTCCCGCCCGGGCCGGAGCGGGGGGCGGGGGAGGGTACGGAGGAGGAGCGATGAAGACTCCATCTTTGTCGAGTTTCCATCCTGATCCACTCTGGTTGTTTTCCTCCAAATTTTCTCCACTCGGAACCAGAAGTATCTTTGCCCGAGAATAGAGTTGACCGAGGAGCTAGCGTCCGTTTGCTTTAAAATTGCTGTTCTAGCCAAACGTCTGTATTCCTCCCACCACCCCCACACTCCCCCACACTCCCCCACACACAGTAGTCAACCCCGCACGCACCCTACCATGGCCCAAATTATTTACTAGAGTAGATTTTGTACAAACGCCAAGGTGATGGAATAATTTAAAGATGCGCAGCCGTTGCACACGATATGTGCATAATGTGGATTCGTGCTGCAGGAAAAGGTATTCTGAGCAATGATTCACTTCAGACGCGATTTTTACGGGAAATGGAGCCCCCTCCCCCTTCCCTTCTACCCCCTGAGGGCAAACATTTAGCAGCATTCTTCAAATCTTGCCTAAACCGTCCGGGATCCCTCCAGATACGCGCGCCGGCAATAATATTTTATTACGCTGCTCCAGCAGCCTCCAGGAGACGCTGCCGCTGGCAGCCTGCTCTCCCAGTCCGAACTGACTTGAGAGGTCGAAAAGCCTCCCCAGACCACCCACGCCCGGCTCTCGGGCCTTGCAGGCCTGAGCTGAGAGGCGGGCGCTGCAGGGTTTGCCGGCGCCAGGCGGGATCCGGGGCCTCTCGCGTAATCGCACCCTTGAGCTCGGCGGCTTCGGGATGAGCGCAGCTGCTGAGATCAGACTGGCCAGGACAAGCGGGCAGCCGGGGTAGACCCGCGAGGGGTTCGGATTCGTGGTGCGATGCCCTATAGAGCCGCGGGAAGGCGCGAGCGCGCGTTAGGGTGGAAATATTCGCCGAAGACAGAGCCCCAATCCTGGAGCTCACTGGCGGCTGGATTCGCTGGAATGTGGGGGTGGAAAGGACCCCAAGAACCCGGAAGCCCAGGTTCCTGCTGGAGCTGCAGATGCTGTGGCAAGGTGGAGAGGAAGTGTCTAGGCGCTTTAAACAATGGATGCCACAGGGCGCCCAGGGTTGAGAGAAAGGCTACCAAGCGTCTGGCTAAGAAAGAGATGCATGGCTGGAGGACTGCTGCCTTTGTGGTCGCTTCTCCGCCGCTTCCAGGAAGGCTGGGTGCTTTGGGGCAGGTTTGAACACACAAAGCCCCTATTCCTGAGCCGGGCTGAAGCTCAGGCGGAGTCAGAGGTTTGCGCACAACCCTTGCCTCCGTGCGGCTGCGGATAGTGAGCCCAGGGTTCTGGCAGGGCCGGGTCGTTGCGTTCTGACCCTGCAGGAGTACTGCTAATACAGTGGAACACTGGGCGGTGCTGGCATCTGCCATTTCTCGGCACACTGGTACCATTTTATTAAAACAAAAACAAAAACAAAAACAAAAACGAGAAAGATGCAGAATACATCAGTGTCCCTATTTGCCCCTTGTTTTCTCCTCTCTGATCCCTGTTGGCATTTGCAAAACTAAAACTTTTCTTCCTCCCTTCCTTCTTTTCTTTCTAAGATTACTTACAAGAACCATGCAATTCAGGGCCTGCAAAAGAAAACAAGATTTGCTGAGAACACAGAGGAGGAATAGAATTTGAGGTTGACCGCCCCCCTTCCCCAATATTCCCCTTATCCCATCTTGCCAGCACCTCGTTGGACATTCACGTAAAACAGAAACAATGATTTCATCCCAGACGAGGAGCAGAGGGGAAAAAGCATGGCACTTCGAGCAGTCTGGAAGTTCTGAGGCCCCAGGGATGCCAGGTGAGGCCGCGCCCACTCGCGCCCTCCCGGCCTCTCCCCAGCTGCAGGAGGCCCCCTGGACTTCACGCTTAACACTGCGCCCCCACCCCCACCCCCATACACTGCTTCCCGCCCCCTCCCTTCCCACAGTGTCCGGGCGCTGCGCCCTGGGTGGGTGGGTGGATGTGCAGAGGCAGGGTAGGGCCAGGACCCTGCAGCCGGTCCGGAGCGGCCGGGGCCTGGGGCTTAAGTCAAGAGGGGCCGGAGTCTCCTCCCAGAGGCTCAGCACCCGGGAGCGGCCTCCTCCGCGGCCCTGCGCCAGGCCCGCCGGACAAAGTTCGGAAGCTGCGGGGCAGTTCGGCTAGCGCCATTTTCTCGCACTTGTGGCTGGACCAGGTTACCGAGCATCTCTGTAGCGGCGCGGTCACCTCTCTACCTGGGACCCCCCGCCCTGTCTCTCTCTAACGACTGGCGGGGAAGGTGGGGCGAGCCCCCAGCTGAGGGGTCCCGAGAAGGGGGG